AAGCCTTACTTAACTAATCTTACTTCCTTTCTTAACCAGGTTACTAGAGGAGAAAATTTGGAGAAATTGATGATGCATCTTGACTTTGGCCAACACTTTGCTGGACTCTCAGGATCTCCTTGTGGACAAGCCTGAGAAATATGAGTTAGATGACATTCTGTTAATAGGTTCTCAGATAGCCTGAATCAAAAGATGTAGACCTATCACCTAAGCTCTTATGGTATAAAGACACAGACAAGATGACAATTTGTAAATGATGCAACATTTCAGGTGACTGAGTCAAGATTCACAGAGATTTTAGGGGATTCAAGATAGGCCATATCCACAAGATGACTTTAAAAGAAAAAATTTAAAATTACCCCTGTAGGGATGTATATATGTATGTGTGGGTTGGTTTTTTGTTTTTTTTTGAGACAGAGTCTCACTCTGTTGCCCGGGCTACAGTGCTGTGGCGTCAGCCTGGCTCACAGCAACCTCAAACTCCTGGGCTCAAGTAATCCTCCTGCCTCAGCCTCCCAAGTAGCTGGGACTACAGGCATGCGCCACCATGTCCGGCTAATTTTTTTTTATATATATATATATATTTTCAGTTGTCCAGTTAATTTCTTTCTATTTTTTTAGGAGAGATGGGGTCTTGCTCTTGCTCAGGTTGGTCTCGAACTCCTGAGCTCAAACGATCCGCCCACCTCGGCCACCCACAGTGCTAGGATTACAGGCGTGAGCCACCACACCCGGCCCATGTGGGTTGGTTTAAAACAGCTTATGGGGGAAAAGGCTTAGTTGGGAGTGTCAAATGATCAAATATTTGATATTAACCAAATGTGTATGATATTCTTTCACTCATTTATTCAAAAATATTGTGTGGCTGCTATGAAAGCAAATTCCATGTACTTTGCCTATGAAAGTATAGAGTCCAAACTCAGGACAGTGGTGGTGCTATGGACACCACAGTGATGAGACAACATCCAGGCACGACATTTGTTTAGTTCTGTAAGACACCTTGAAGAAAAGAATCAAGCATCTATTAATATAATAGAAGAGGCCACCAGTGTCCAGGGTGGCCCAAGAGCTGAAACCATGGTAAGGGGGAGATGACACTCTGTCACGGCTGATCATCTTAAGAAAGAAGGACTAAGTGCAGATATGAAAAATATCCTTACGTTTTTAAGGGCTATTGTCTGGAAGCTTTCATAGACTCTTGCTTTGTTCCTTAGGCAGCAGAAGTTATAGGATCAATAGCCATGAGTTATAGGAAATTGGGTTTCGGCCAGCCTCTTACAGTGCGTCAGCTCCTTTCCAACCCCTAGGCACACAGCAATGAGCAGGACAAGATCCTTTCCGCACAGAGTTAACCCATAAATTAACTATGCGAATATGTTCTCTGTGTGGACTTAGCTATTCCACATAGAGAAGTGGCTCCAGATACAATGGCTCTTGTAGCAGTGAGGCTCGTTGGGGAGCTGAGTGCCTCTTAACACACTGAGCTCCCATCTTTGGAACAGAAGAGGAGTGACGTTTCAGGTTCTGTCTGAGGGACTGAGGCTAGGCTGATGGTGTCTCTACCTAGACGTGGTGTTCTGGTAGCCACCAAGAACCAAAGAAGGGAAAAACAGACACAGTCAGGAAGCACAATACGAGCTTGGGGAAAGCCAGCAGTAGGAAAAAAAGCCTTGGAATGCTAGACTGCACAGTCAGAAGCTTTTTGGGAGCTCTCTGCAATCAAGTGGGCTTTGGCTTGAATCATGTGGGACTGGCCAAAATGTTGCACGAGCCTCTGTCATGAGTGTTGGAGATGGGACTTGTGATGGATATCTTCCACTTGCATTTCCCACTCTACTCTCCTCCCTTCTCTACCCTGTTGTGCAGCTAGGCAGTTGACCTGCATAGCTTGAATCAGGGGAATCCTTGCCCTTTGGACCCAGCTGGGTTCAGATAACAGCTAGAGTTTGTAGAGGGGGAAGAGTGAAGTTAAGATTTCCCTGCTCCCTGCTTGCCTCCCTGTGGGATCACCTTGGAATTGCTATGTTCCTTAGCTGAGGGTCACAGCTCCTCTTAAAGTGTCCCTGTCTACATAGCTCTCTCTGCCGGGATCCAGTAGCCACTCCCTGCCCTCCACCCTCCAAGCCTAGAGGTGGTAACAGCTTCAGAGTTACTGGCTCCAGAGCACTGCATTATCCCTATGGGTCTCCTACATCAGTGGTTCCCAACCTTTTTGGCACCAGGGACCAGTTTCATGCAAGACAATTTTTCCATGGACAGTGGGTTGGGGAAAGATGGGTTTGGGCTGATTCAAGCACATTGCATTTATTGTGCAGTCAAACCTCTCTGCTAATGATAATCTATATTTGCAGCCGCTCCCCAGCACTAGCATCACAGCCTCAGCTCCACCTCAGACCATCAGGCATTAAATTCTCATAAGGAGCTCGCATCCTAGATCCCTCGCAGTGCAGTTTACTGTAGGGTTCGCGCTCCTATGAGAATCTAATGCCACCGCTGATCCGACAGGAGGAGGAGGTCAGGCAGTGATGCGAGTGACGTGGAGTGGCTGTAAATACAGATGAAGCTTTGCTGGCTGGCCTGCCGCTCACCTCCGGCTGTGCAGCCCAGTTCCTAACAGGCCACAGACCAGTACCAGTCTGTGGCCTGGTGGTTGGGAACTGCAGTCCTACATCTTGTCCACACCCTTATACAAAATATTATTAAACTCTGCTTGAATTATCCTAATGTGAATGTGTCATCTGCTTCTTGGGCGAAATCTGCCTGATGCAGGATTCTGGATTGAATGAGAAGATGAGCTACATCATTTCTAAAAATGCTTATACTTCTATAGCTCTGGATTTCTTATCACTGACCTTAATATTTTTGTACACCCGAGCAATGAAGGTTACCTTTCTACACCTAGAAACTCACAGAAAATATTTTTGTAGTGTATATGAAGTTCATCTGCAGACATGTGATTCAGTTGAATCACATAAAAGACATTATTTATTGTTTTTATAAGAATTTATGTTACAATGGAATATTACTCAATCATAAGAAACAACAGTGATCTAGAACCTCTTATACTTTCCTGGATTAAACTTAAGCCCATTATCCAAAGTGAGGCACCACAAGAGCGGAAAAATGGGCTCCACTTGTACTCACCATCAAATTGGTACTAACTGATCAACACTAGGGTGATCACATGGCAGAAATACTCTCCAGGGACTAGGGGAATTGGGGGGTAAATCCGCAACTAAAGGACACGGGGAGCATTGTAGGGGGGGAAGGGCATGCCTTTAACCCGCACTTGGGTGAGGCAAAGACATAAAGTGTAACCATAATGTTTGTACCCTCACAATACCCTGAAATTAAAAAAAAAAAAAAAAAGAATTTATGTTTTCAGGATAAATTGCAGTATTTTTCAGTCACTCTTCCCGTGTCTGTAGGGTCAGCTAACATCTTTACTGGTGTTACATAAAAGAGCCAGAGGAAGCTTACGCTGGCCAAGCAACGACTGCCTAGACTCTGGCAATTTCATCAAGGAGCTATAATTAATCTTAAAAAACTTTTATTTAATAATAAAAGCTGCTAGCCACTCTGTGACCGTTTCTGAGAAGAATGAATAGTTGAGGCTCCTCATAATGATGCTATTCCCACGATGTCTCAGAACATCAAGAAAAGAATGAAGAGACTGCATTGTCTGCATGACTGTGAACCATGTGACTTCTGAGTCTGATAGTCCATGCAAGACATATTGCCTTCTCACGTGAAGATCAACTCCATTTGCTTGCAATAAGAGGGTTTTGTTTTCGCTTGGTTTGATTTTGAGACTATCTTACTTCTAAAGAATCATTATCTTTTAGAGATACACAATGAGATGTTTATGGATGAAATGATGAGATTTGCTCCACAATGACACAGAAAAGGGGAATGAGTGGGAGTAGAGACAAAACAAGACTGGCAGCTATCAAAGCTGGTGGTGGAGACGTGAAGGTCCATTATACTATGCTTTCTACTTCTGGGTGATTTTAGAATTATTGACTATTAAAAGTTAAGTGAGGCTGAGCATGGTGGCTCACACCTATAATTCCAGCACTTTGAGAGGCTGAGGCTGGAGGATTGCTTGAGGCCAGGAGTTCAAGATCAGCCTGGGCAACATAGCAAGACCCTGTCCATATAAACAATTTAATAAATTAGCCAGGCATGGTGACGCCCACCTGTAGTCCCAGCTACTTGGAAAGCTGAGGCAGCAGGATTGCCTGAGCCCAGGAATTCAAGGCTGCAATGAGCTATGGTCTTACCACCACACTCTAGCCTGGGGCAACAGAGCGAGACCCTGTGTCTTAAAAAAAATAAAAATTAAATAATTAAAAGTTAAGTAAAAAAATATTAAATAAAAATTTATTTCTTCCAATAGGAAAACTCATTTATTGTTGCTTGGTGCCCATGATGTCATGCAGAAGCTCTGCGTGTAGGTTTCAGAAACATAATAGGAAAAATGTATTGAAACAAAATGTAAATGAGGAATGCTATTTTTTTTGTGAAGGTTTAATCAAACCATGCTCACATTGGGAAGTAGCAACATGATATTATTCAGAATGTACAGTTCGAGTAGTCTTCCATGAATTGAGATGGAAGGCAAACAGAAATACTACATGTATGTTTTAAAAGATATCGTGTGTGTACTTGCTTCTAAATAACCCGGGGTGGAGGAGAACTAGGTGAGGGTATTGGTGAAATAAAAGTCAATATTTCTTGAGTTGGGGGCATGGATACATGGGAGTTCATTATACTATTTGTTCTACTTTTGTATATGCTCTAAATTTTCCATAGAATGGTTTAAAAAAGTAAAACATATACTGCATGTCCAAAACATGGCCATTTTGCCTTGAGAAAGTATTAACTGTTATGATTTTATGAAATGTAATATTATGTGATTTCTTTTTCACCTCCTTTGGTTGTGTGTTTTCTAATATATTGCTATTTGTCCATTTCTTTCCTCTTCCCCAATCCCTTAGTTTTGTCTGTTATATGGGACCAGGCTGGTGTTCCAGGAGCGGGCCTGGTATTTAGAACATAAATACTTGACTCCCACGGCCAGCGTGAGGATCCGGAGTCAGGTAAGCGTCCCTGGGGTGCAGAAAAAAACCCCTTGAACATCAGCCTTGGGCTCTTTGCTTTCTTAGAAAACAGTCCTGCCAATCTTTTAGTGGTTTCCACTCATGAATTCTTATGCCTCTGGGACTTCGCATACATGTTTTCATTGCCTACCATGATCGTATTACGCTTCAGAGTTTAGATGACAAGGGAATGACTCACCGTACGTGCACTTTCTCACATGAAAAGTGGAGGAGAGAATCAAAGTATTTTCCTTGTCCTGGCAAAGAAAAAAAAAAAAAAAGTATTAGTGATTTTCATTTTTCTACTTCTTCATATTCACAAAAACGACCTGTGGTATTTTTATGTCAGTAGTAGCAAGGAGAATTCAATCTGATAGCTACAGAGCACCTGAAAATGAAGGTGGGGCCAATGAATAACCACCAAAATGCTGAAGAAAAGGAATGTGAACAGCATACTCATCAGTAAAATGCATTTCCGAGTGCCCCCTCTCTGCAGGTCCTCTGTTAGATGCTGAAAAACAAACAGGTATAAGGCTCAGTTTCTGCATCTGAGGGAGCTCATTATATTTGGGAACACAAAACACAAATACCCTCACCGGAGAGTGGAAGTTTTTCAATGAACCTGGCCACAAAAGTTCAGAGTTCAGAGGTCAGATGTCTTAGGGGTGAATGTCATTCTTGCTAGACCTCGGAGAGTTGATAATTAAGACAAAGTGGAGGTGGTAGTTCAATTGAGAGGGGAGATATAGTTGAACCCTCAGAGACAGGGTTGATGAGGTGAGCATGACCACGGAAATTGGGAGGACATAGGACAGACATGGTAGGACAAACATGCCATTATCACAGGAGTGAGTTCCTAATAAAAGGACAAGCTGAGCTCCCTCTCTTTTCTCTTGCTCTCACCCTCTCTTGCCCTTCCTCTTCCCGCCACAGGATGATGCCGCACAAAGAGCCTTGCCAGATGCAGGACCCTTGACCTTGGACATTCCCGCTTCCTCCAATTGACCAAGGGTCCCAGGCATTTAAGCGAAGAAAAGCTGCTAATATTAATAATTTCCCTAAGGGCTTGAGATCACTGCAAAGGAGTGGTGGAAGTGGGAAAGGAAGGAAGCTCCACTTTCTTCTCCCCTTTGGGGACACCAGAAAAGAGAGTGAGTGCTCAGGAATGGCAGCTCAGAGATCTGACAAAGAAAACATGTCCTATAGTCCTGCAGATAAAGCTTGTTCCAAAGTGGCTGGCTCCTCCCTGCTTACCTCCCAGGCTGCTGTGATGGTCCAGTAAGCGAAAAGTATGGAAAGCATGAAACAACGAAGACTTCACCCGTCTGATGGAAAACCTGGAGAAGTGTGCAGGGGTCAGATGACAGTGGCCCCTGAAGAACTTTGAAGAATCTTTTTCCTTTTCAGGGAAACAGAAATTATGGAGAAAAGTATATGTAATAATGTTTCAGTCATGTATTGCTATGTAACAAATGACCCCAAACTTATGGCTTAAAACAACTACCACTTATTATTTGTCTTAGTCCATTTTTTGCTGTTACAGCAGAATATCACAGCATGGGCAATTTATAAAGAAAAGAAATTTATTTCTTATAGTTCTGGAAGCGGGGAAGTCCAAGGTCAAGGGCTCTGCATCTGGCAAGGCTCTTTGTGCCGCATCATCCCGTGGTGGGAAGAGGAAGGGCAAGAGAGGGCGAGAGCAAGAGAAAAGAGAGGGATCTGAATTTGTCTCTTTATTAGGAACTCACTCCTGTGATAATGGCATTAATCCATTCAGGAGGGCGGAACCCTCAAGACCTAATACCTCTTAAAGGTCCCGCCTTTCAACACTGCTGCATTGGAGATTAAGTTTCAAACACATGAACTTTGTGGGACCCGTTCAACTCATAGCATCATTTCTCATGATTCTGCAGTCTGGACAGGGCTCAGCTGGAGAGTTCTCCTCTACATGGTGTCTGCTGGGGCTAGGTATCCAGGGTGACTTCTTTAGTCTCATGGCTGGCACCTCAAACAGATAGGCAACTGTCTCTTTCCATGGAGCCTAGTTTGGGCTAACTCACAGTATGGGAGTCTCAGGGTGGCCGATGTTGTACATGATGGCTAGCTTCCAAGAATGAGAAAGTAGAACATGCCGGACTTCTTAAACTCTAGGCCCAGAGCTAACATAGTGTTACTGCTACTGAATTCTATTAGCAGAGGATGTCACAACACCAGCACAGATTCAGGGCTGGAGGGGAGACGTCACCCTTCAATGTGAGGAGTAGCATGTGCATGTCGGGAAGGAAAGAATTGATAGCATCCATCTTTGGAGACTGCCTTCCACAAAGAGAATTTCTACTTTGGGAAGAAGGAAGAACACTTTTCAATGAAAACAGAGAAGAAAAAAAAAAAGACTACATAAGAGAAGATTTTAAATTTGTGCCATCAGGTATTTCAGTGATGTAGAATTAGATACATAATCCATCAGAGGAATGTTGAGTAAAAGAAATGAACTTTCATATGCAACACTGCAGTGCTTTGGTATTCTTACAGCGCAACACGCTTTCCATACTTTTCACTTACTGGACCATCACAGAAGCCTGAGGGGTAAGCAGGGAGGAGCCAGCCACTTTGGAACAAGCTTTATCTGTAGGACTATAGGACATGTTTTCTTTGTCAGGTCTCTGAGCTGCCATTCCTGAGCACTCACTTTCTTTTCTGGTGTCCCCAAAGGGGAGAAGAGAGTGGAGCCACCTTCCTTTCCCCCTACCACCACACCCATTTGCAGTGATCTCAAGCCCTTAGAGAAATTATTAATATTAGCAGCTTTTCTTTGCTTAAATGTCTGGGACCCTTGGTCAATTGGAGGTGCTAAATAGGGGTGTGCTTGTGAAGAAGAATAAAGGAGACTGGGGTGATTGGTCTAGGTGGTTTTCTATGATATCTCTTCAAGTTTACTGATTCTTTCTTCAGGTGCATCTAATGTGCTGGTTAGTTCATTCCCCAAATTTTTAATTCCAGTTGTTGGAATTTTTGTTTGTAAAATTCTTTTTTTCTTCGTTATATCACACATGTCACTTTTTAGTTTCCTGTTCCCCAAAGATATATTTAATATTGTCTTTTTTTTGTATATTGAAACATAGTTGTTTTATAGTCTGTGTAACTAATAATTTCAATACCTTAAATCTCTGCAGGTTTATTTCCTTTTGTCTGTTGCTTCTGCTATGTGTCTGGTTATCTTTTATTGTGTGTTAGTCATTTTTTAAAATAATGTGTAAGATTTATATGAAGGCCAAATTGAACAGACCTTTCCTTGCAAGGCCTCTGAAAGCACTCAGAGTTTGAGACCCCCCCCTTAAACCAAATTCAAGGCTTGGAGGTCTCCTAGAAGACTCAAATACTTAAAATAAAGGTAGTGATTTCTTTACCTTGCCCCAGAGTTATAGCTCTTTGATATCCCAGCGTATCATGGCAAGGGTCTGCTGTTAAATTTCTTGCTTAGTTCTAGCCCTGATTTTTGACTATCACTATCTTCTACCCGCTGCACAACCACCATCAAGCTGTCAAAGTGAAAGTTCCAATTTGTTGGAAATGGCAAATGTCTTTAGGGCAAATGCAATTTTCATACTTGTTTATTTCTCTAGGTTCTCATTTTCCCTGAAATTTTGGCTTTATCATTTTTTGATGTTTTGAAGATGTTTCCCATATTTTCTTCAAATATTTTGGTTGTTTTCAGGAGGAAGGTTGGCCCCCCTCCAAAAAAAATCGAGCCCTCTGTTGTCAGAAACACAAAGTCCATTCAGTGTTGTTCCATGTGACCCCACAACCATCCTGGGCTTGATTTTCACTTTCCTTACATATAGGTGAGGCCCAAAGTGGCAAAATAACTTGCCCAAACTAATGCAGCCATATCTCTTTGACTCCAGACATTTTCATTTATTTTATTTAGATAAAAATCAGCATCAGCCAGTAACAAAACAACAAGCACACCCAGTGCCCAGTTCTTGGTTTCTGATATCATTTTCCAGTAAAAAGAACAAGGGTCCTTGGAGAAATGGCTAATTCTAGGGCTGGAGCACTGAATATACAGATGATCCTGGAGCATTTTCTAGTGTCAGAAAGTAAGAAAGTGCTTAAGGAAAAAAAGACAAACCAAAAAACTCACAATGATAGGAGTACGTCCAAGGGATGCAGGAAGGAGCCAACTGAAAGAGCTGTCAGTAGAGCAACCAAATAAATAAAGTAGTGCTAGATAATGACTGAAAGTGTAAAGCAATTAAATGCAAGTCCATAAGGATAAATACAAATGATTAAACAAATAAATAAATGGGAGAAAAAGACAACTCTTCCTTACAGAAGAATTCCAAATAATATATACAGATACTTCTCCCTCCAGGACGTGAAACTCAATTCCTCTTCCCTTGAGTGTGTGTTGGACTTAGTGGATTTGCTTTTATTTTAAAGAATTGAGTATGGAAAGGGGAAATAGTTACTTTACGGTGGAGAAACCTGCTAGATCACTTAACCAGGTGATTAAGGTTAATATTGCCAGTGGTATATCATGGCGATAGCATGTACCCTCTGATACTATGTGATGAGAAAGGCATTTTCCTCTTCCCCAAGTCTAATCTTGAGAAGAAAACATCAGACAAAGCCAAACTGAGGAATGGTCTGCACAATACCTGACCGGTACCCCTTAAAACTGGCAATGCATGAAAGACAAGGAAAGACTGTGAAACCATCACAGATCAGAAGATACCATGAGACATGCTGACTAAATACAATGTGGTGTCCTGAAACAGGAAAAGGACAGTAATAGAAAAACTGGTGAAATCTGAATAAAGTCTATAGTTTGGTTAATAGAAATGCGCCAATATTGGTTCCTTAGTGTTTACAATGGACCATAGTTACATAAGATGTTAATTAGGGGAAACAGGGTGAAGGTCCTGTGAGAACTCTGTGTGATCTTTGGAACTTTTCTGCAAATCTGAAAGTATTCCAAAATAAAAAGTTTATAAAAA